AGAGATTATAATGTTAATGAGGGGAAGGGCAGAGAACAGCGAACAGATGTTCGGACTTTCAGCTGCGATCCTGGCCTGACTCTCCGGTATTCCTTTGTGAGAGTATCTCTGCATTTCTGCAAGCTGCAGGCAGGAACTTAATCATAAAAGAAATCTTTCTCAGAGCCATTCTCCTAGGAGAGCACTTGAGGCGAACTGCCACGTCTGTGGGGTGCTGATCGCTATACCTGCCAGTCTTTTTTTCCAGGTTTGGATAATTTCGAGGTTTATGGTTTGTTTTGATGGAAACACAGTCAAGAAATAAAAATACAGACAACATTGCTGTAATCATGGCAGAGGTGTACCCAATTCCCTAGACTGGCATTACTGACTGAGAGAACAGGAGAAGGATGCAATAGCAAGAGGCAATTTGATTGGACCCAAGAAAGGACTTCTGGGTGGTAGATATTCTTGAATAAACTTGTTAGGAAGCTGAGCATACTCCAGCTCTGGAAGATTCTGTTAAGGCCACACACACCACCCAGAACATCTCTGAAACATTAGAAAATTGATCTTGTGCGAGCAGGGAACAGAAATTCTTTTAAGGTATGATGTCTATATTTTGAAACTGTGCATATTTTATGCTTAACATAAAGGCTGAGTGGTAGGGAAATAAAGAATGAGCCTACTCTTGCATACTAAAAATTCAAAATTGTTTTTCCGCATTTTCCAGTTGTCTCCAGTCACACATTCAGATAACGTTATGTGAACGTGGGGCTACACAGCATAGACACAATTTTGTGTTCTACTATTTTCATTTTATATGATCTCCCAATAATTCTTTCATGAGATTTTCTTCCTCATTATCACTCAATTGCTTCTTCCTATCACATCAAGGAATTCTGTGATTTACTTCACCAATTCCCCCACTGTTTGGCTTCTAGGTAGCTTGCTCTAATTTATACCAAGGTGAACATATTTCTGTACTTAGCCTCTACTTTCTTTGGATTCCTTATTAGACTTTTAGAAATGAGGTTTTTGGTCTGGTTTTGTTGCTATTGTTGTTGTTGTTGTTGTTGTTGTTGTTGTTGTTGTTTTGAGACCAAGTCTCACTCTGCGTCCTCGGTAGAGGCTATGGCATCACAGCTCACAGTAACCTCAAACTCTTGGGCTTAAGCAATTCTCTTGCCTCAGCCTCCCAAGTAGCTGGGCCTATAGGCTCCCACCACAATGCTCAGCTATTTTGTTGTTGTAGTTGTTATTGTTGTTTGGAAGGCCCAGGCTGGGTTCGAACCCGCCAGCCCTGGTATATGTGGTCAGCACCCTAGCTACTGAGCTATAGGCACTGAGCCTAGAAATAGAAGTTTTGAATCAAAGGATATGACCATTTTTGAAATGTATTACCATTTGCTTTAAAATTTTTTTTTAATCCATGTATACTTCTACTGGCTAAATCAGAGAATCAGTATCACCATAGCTTTGACATAATAGGATTTTATCATTATTTTTCTTTTTTTGCTAGCAGATGGGTATAGTTTCTAACTGTGGACAAATATGTCAGGCAAGCAATAAGCTATGATGGCTGAGCACGTATGAACAGAATTTACTCCTGTAATGAAATCAATCAAACTCAAGATTAATTGGAGAAGTATGACAATATGATAAACTACCACACTGAGAAAAGGATGTGCAATCACCGTGGCTTAGCTCAGCCAAAGACCTGCACAATTTGCCCTCTCCTCCTTTGTTCTCTAGGATTTATAGTCACAATTGTTTCTCTCTCTCTCTCTGTCTTTTTTTTTCCTGAGACAGAGTCTCACTCTGTGGCCCTGGATAGAGTGCTATGACATCATCATAGCTCACAGCAACCTCAAACTCAAACTCAAGTGTTCCTCCTGCATCAGCTTCCCAAGTAGCTGAGACCACAGGCACCCAATACAATGCCCAACTAGTTTTTCTATTTTTTGTGATCCACCTGCCTTGGCCTTCCAGAGTGCTTCTGTGAGCCACTTTGCCCTGACAGAATTGTCTTTTTTATCCAACAATAAGTAGGATGTCAGCAACACAGTGCAATATAAAATATAGAAATATAGAACAAGGATATTATCAAAAGACACTCCAGTCAAATGAGTTCCTATAAACCTGTTCCTAACATTATATAAGAAGAAACTACTATTATATTCTGTCCCTTACTTCACTATAGAAGAATATAATTAATTTCTTAATAATAAAAATGATATGGGCCAGCCATGGTGGCTCACGCTTATAATTTTACCACTTTGGGAGGCCAAGGTGGGAGGATCACTTAAGGCTAGGAGTTTTGAGACCAACCTAAGCAGCATAATGAGACCCTATGATTACCCAGGCTTGGTGGTGCACACCTACAGTCCCAGGTACTCTGAGGCTAAAGCAGGCAGATCCCTTCAGCCCAGGATTTTGAGGGTTCAGTGAGCTAGGATGATGACACTTCACTCTGGCCTGTGCAAAGGAGTGAGACCCTGTTTCTCTCACACATACATACACAAAAGAATATCATTAATTGTATGTTCTTTTAAAAACACAGATTAATAAATAAAACATCACCCACAAAGAGGCAAAGAACAAATGCACAAATACATTTATATGTCCTCTTTACCAGCAGGTACAATGTGGATGTAATTTATATTTAAACACAGCATATGTATGTCGTACTAAAATATTAGTGGGCCAAAATGCTGTTTGCATTAACATGTATATACATCATAGTTACCTCATAATAAATTTAATTGACAAACTAAGCTAATTTTAACATTTTTTGGGGGGTGGGGGACAGAGTCTCACTATGTTGCCCTCAGTAGAGTGGCATCACAGCTCATAGCAACCTCAAACTCTTGGGCTTAGATGATTCTCTTGCCTTAGCCTCCCAAGTAGCTGGGACCATAGGCCCCTGCCACAATGCCTGGCTATTTTTTTGTTGCAGTTCTCATTGTTTAGAGACAATGAGCTGGGTTCAAACCCAATGGGCACCAAGCCAATAATATAATAATAATATATATTATTTTAACATATAATTAAAAACCAAGAATCACAGCAGCTAAGCACCATGACTCACTCAAGACTACCTCCATATAGACCTATTCCCACATTGCAGGAATTCCACTCCACTAAGGGTTGTACGATGTCAATGATGTCACCAGGAGTTGTATCGTGGCCAGATTTTCTGGCAGAGTCCTCAGCAAACTCTAGAAGTCTGCCACTTTTAGTTTAAAATCATCAAATTTTAATAGTTATTAATAATTTAAGAATTAATGGTAAATGGTCCCTTATTTTTGCATAAAAATGCAAGTTCAAATAATTGCATGCCATCTGACAACAGAATTGAAGAAAGGATTGATTTTTTTTAGATGTGTTCCAGGTCCATCCAGAGCACTGGCTGTGGAGTGAGGTGGAAAGGTGTGTGTAGGGGGAGAGACATGCTTTGACACCGCTCTGTCGTCTTCTTGCCATCAAGAATAAAAGGATTTATAGTTTT